CCAGAAAATAATCCAAAAACACAACCTCACATTTTGGATGGACTACTTAGAAAGCAATAGATGGTCATGATGCCAAACTGTTTAGAAAACAGCAAAGTAGTTCCTTACAGCTCTTAGTCTACTCCTAAATTAAAAGCACAAACACATGCGAGACCTAGACGATACACCGATGAGACCAGAAGGGATTAGAAGGAGCAGACAAGGGAAAAAGTGGGATAAAAGAAAAGTAAAAGCTGTAATTAAGACTCTCCTGACTCACCAGAGGAAGCTTGTTAGAAAGCGTGGACCCCCTATCGAGGGGAGAGGGATAACTTGGACTCTTTCGCTTGTAATTAAATCTAAGAGAAATTAATTGAATCACATCTGAAAGGGATCAGACTCATTTACACCGGATGAAGGGAGGCAGAGGAGGAGATATGAAGGGAGACAGAAAAAGAAGATGAGGCAAAAGGAATTTCTTTCCCTTTTTTGGGGCGGGGGGCTCGGCTCTTATCGGCTCCTAAACCTCCCTGATAAGGAGCTGTGTTTTAGAGGTGCTATATTGTAGGCCTGCTAAAGACACTCTTATTACAAACGTCACCTCATTAGAACCATCTTAATCCCTCACCTCCCCAAGGCGCCCCGTATAATAAGGCTCAATTCTGCTTCTCTCTCCTATTTTTTGGTGAAATAATTAATTGCTTTAAAGGCCGAGTCAAAAATTTCCAAGGCGCAAAATCACTCGAAGAAAAGGGGGAGATTTCTCAAAATAATTGAAATGTGATTACTTCTGTACATTTCTGCCACCTCACAGAAGAAAAGAAGCCTTCTGAGTCGACACGTTAAACACCATCTACATTCATAATATGCATTATCTACAGAGCAGCACCATATAATATCTCACATCAAGGCTTGTCACACAACACTAACTCTGACATATGTCTTATTAAGTCTGAAGAAACCTAATTAAATGTTGGGCCAGGACTGAATTTCAGCTCTGAGATACATTATGTCAGTGTGTACAGTGGTTTGCAAAAGTATTCATACCCCTTGAACTTTTCCATATTTTGTCACATTACAACCACAAACATAAATATATTTCACTGGAATTTAATGTGAAAGACCAACACAAAGTGGTATACAATTGTGAAGTGGAAGCAAAATTTTACATGAATCAAAACATTTTTTACAAATAAAAAACTGAAAAGTGCGATGTGCAAAATTATTCAGCCCCCCTGAGTCAATACTTTGTGGAGCCACCTTTTGCTGCAATTACAGCTGCAAGTCTTTTAGGGTATGTCTCCACCAGCTTTGCACATCTAGTGACTGCAATTCTTGCCCATTCCTCCTTGCAAAACAGCTCAAGCTCAGTCAGATTGGATGGAGAGCGTTTGTGAACAGCAGTTTTGAGATCTTGCCACAAATTCTCAATTGGGTTTAGGTCTGGACTTTGACTGGGCCATTCTAACACATGAATATTCTTTTTTTTAAACCACTCCATTGTAGCTTTGGCTTTATGTTTAGGGTCGTTGTCCTGCTGGAAGGTGAACCTCCGCCCCAGTCTCAAATCTTTTGCTGACTCCAACAGGTTTTCTTCCAAGATTGCCCTGTATTTGGCTCCATCCATCTTCCCATCAACTTTGACCAACTTCCCGGTCCCTGCTGAAGAGAAGCACCCCCAGAGCATGATGCTGCCAACACCATATTTGACAGTGGGGATGGTGTTTTCAGAGTGATGTGCAGTGTTCTTTCTCCGCCACACATAGCGTTTTGCATTGTGGCCAAAAAGTTCAATGTTGGTCTCGTCTGACCAAAGCACCTTCTTCCACATGTTTGCTGTGTCCTCAACATGGCTTCTGGCAAACTGCAAACGGGACTTCTTATGGTTTTCTTTTAACAATGGCTTTCTCCTTGCCACTCTTCCATAAAGACCACATTTGTGTAGTGCACGACTAATTGTTGTCCTGTGGACAGTTTCCCCCACCTGAGCTGTGGCTCTCTGCATTTCATCCAGAGTCACCATGGGCCTCTTGGCTGCCTCTCTGATCAGTGATCTCCTTGTTCGGCCTGTAAGTTTAGGTGGACGGCCTTGTCTTGGCAGGTTTACTGTGGTGCCATACTCTTTCCATTTCCGGATGATGGATTGAACAGTGCTCCGTGAGATGTTCAAAGCTTGGGAAATCTTTTTATAACCTAAGCCTGCTTTAAACTTCTCCAAAACCATATTCTTAACCTGTCTGGTGTGTTCTTTGGACTTCATGATGCTGTTTGCTCCCCAATATTCTCTTAACCAACATCTGAGGCCGTCACGGAGCAGCTGTATTTGTACTGAGATTAGATTACACACAGGTGGACCCTTTTGAGTCATTAGCAGTCATCAGGCAACTTCTGAAGGCAATTGGTTGCACTCAGGGAAAAGGGGGCTGAATACTTTTGCACGTCGCACTTTTCAGTTTTTTATTTGTAAAAAATGTTTTGATTCATGTAAAATTTTGCTTCCACTTCACAATTGTATACCACTTTGTGTTGGTCTTTCACATTAAATTCCAGTGAAATATATTTATGTTTGTGGTTGCAATGTGACAAAATATGGAAAAGTTCAAGGGGTATGAATACTTTTGCAAACCACTGTATATGCACAGATTGTGTGAGGATCATGTGTTAAGTGCACGAGGTGCTTGGGTGAAGGCTGAGTGTTGGTGGTATCAGTGACTGCAGAAAATTGAAGAATGCCGACTTTAAAAGCCCCACCTGCAGCTTTGACGCATATCCAGTAGACCACACGAGTGTGTACGATGTGAGGTTTTAACAACTGCTGATCAAAATATTTACCCTTTGCAATTATTGAGCTGATGAACACAAATCCGTGTTTGGTATTTTGCCAACATAAACACATTTTTTCTATGCCTTCTCTTGCTGGCTCATGTCTGAGTGTTTTCTTGCAGCTTCGTGTTACACTTTTGTAAAGTCGTGAGTTTTTTTGACTGAAAGATTTGAATCTCCTTTACTGTTTATTTGCATAAAAAATACCTCCCATAATCTAATTTCTTCCTTGACACTAAAAACAAAATTTAAGCTGAAATGGATTTTATGCAACAAAATGCTTCAGATTCACTTTTATTTTCTGGCTCCATTTGATTAAAGAAAACATTTTTTTTCCACCCTGGAAGCAAATAAGGCCAGGATTCTGCAGGTGTTACAATTATCACGTTCGATTTAAATCAATATCAAAATGTTTGCATACCCATGTTGCTCTTGGTTTAAAAGCATCTGACCTCCAAAGTCCTTTCGTTTTCTTTGTAGCTATAAAAAATATTTAAAACCCTCCACTATAACCTTACATCTGTAAAAAAAATAAAATAAAATAATAATAATAATAATAATAAAAATAATAATAAAATCACCAAACAAATGAGCCTATGTTACAAAAACAAAATGACATTTCTCAGCCCATGAAAGAGATACAACTTATAAAATCATCATTCACAAGCGTGCTGGCTGGCTGTGTGTTTTTACTAAGTAAATACTGTTCACAACAAGATTTCCCCCAACTGGTTTAAAAGCCTTGTAACTAATACAGTATGTCTCGGGTGGGTGCCTGGGTGAGATAGGGGTTGGCTTATTTCTGCTGGTTAACTAAGTGTTTCAGGAAAAAAGGGAAGAAAAATGTAAATTACAAGCAAAAAAAAAATACTGCAACAAATCCAGCAGCATCCAAGGATGGCAGCACATCTGACTAAATGAAGATAAATGCCTTTGGACCATTAGCAGTGAGATAAGATCTTTAACAAGCCTTGTTTAAGAGTGTCTGAAGGCAAATTAATTCCCAGTTACTCCGCTGGCAGACAGTCTGTTTTTTTCTGTAACACATGTATATTTATGATGGAATTAGTTTCATATGGAAGTCCCCAGAGCAGTGTTTTTGAGTCGAAACACTGGTACAGTGCAATTGATTTCACTCTATTTATGCTCTTTCCCACTGGCACTTTATCTTCTCTAAGCAAGGAGGCGGTTTCTAATCTTCTATGTAGTATCCACTAATAAAGAGAACGATCAGTGAGTTGAGACAGCAGGGCAAACACAGTTAACAGGCAGATTTGTAACGATAATAGGGCAGAAATAGAGTTGCCTGTTTAACAACAGGGATGCATCTTCCTGAGGCAAAGTCTACTCTCAACACCAAGGATAGCACAGCGGCACGTTCTCACAGAATCGTAAGTAAGAAAACAGTGGCGTCTGGAAATATGCTGCATCAGCCTGCGTTCTCTGGGTGTGTGTATGTGTGGACATGAGTCAGTCTGCTTTAGCTCACTTCCATAATGAGGTCCCCGCTTTGGGGACGGTAGACCCACACCGCAACTGAGCGGTTTCGAACTATGAGAAATGTTTACATAGCAGCTGAGGAAACAGAAGTCTCCATGTGTTTTGGGTTAAAGGCACATTTCCGCATTGAGAGGTATAATTGCTAAGCGTGGCGCAATTTCAGCGGCGTAGTGCAGCAAACCCTGAAAGCCGCAAACGGTGAACGATAAGTAGCTCTCCGGCTCCAACATGTGCTTCTCATCAAACGTCCTGGACCTGAAAACAATTTCCCAATTTCCCTCATGGCCCGAGACAACAGACGGCCTCGTGCCGACTCACAAGGAAAATTTAAGATCAACACTATAACTATAAAGTAGGGTTTATGATTTGTTTAATGGGTGTTTTGATGGGAAATATACTTTTTATACACTACTGCTGTCCAACAAGGCACTCATAGCAAATGAAGTGGACTTTTTAATCCAATCTGTGATTTAGTGATGACAAATGAAAAGGAATAAGATCCATTGTCCCTTTGTGCTGGAGAAAACTCATTGTTCAAATTGGACCTCGTCTGGCTGAGGAATACGTGGAGATTTGAGCACCACTGATCCCCCCCCCCCACCACGCAGAGATAACGCACAGTTCAGAACTTCAAAATGGCATAAAATGAGCTATGTGTTGTCATCTTTTGATGAACCCAGCCCAGGGAAGAGATTCATACTTTTCTTCCTCTTTTGTGCCGAAGCAGATGTGTCCGCATATGTTTTCCTGTGATATCCAGATGCTACGTTCATACACCCACGTGCTTAACAAGCTGTGGACATAAAACATTGTCTAAGATTGTCTCTTTCAAGGCAATTTTTAGAGCCCAGGGATCATAAAAGGATTTATGAGCAGTGTTATAAAAATCAAGCAACATTTCATTTGCGCACGTAAGTTTTTAAAACAGTCACTCAGTGGGATTCACCAAAACACTTACCATTCTGAGTAGATTATGGACACTGTCTATAAAAATCAAGGCGGTATGGTTAAAGATTATGGTTCTGTGATGAGATCCACCTCAATTTTTGTCGCTTGTATTCTGGTGATATACGGTATAATAATGCTGTCTGTCTTAGGTAGTTATGACTTGGCCAGAATAAAATCTTTTAGTACACAGAGGCCATGAGAAGCCTCATCTCTTTCCTCATCAATCTAAAATTTTAACCTGCAACTTTACGTTTACTGAGCTTCTCAGCAATTTCAAAGTTAATGCCTGTCAAGCTTTCCTTAAAATGCATCAATCACAAGACAAACGTAAAATGTCTTGTCAAAAATGTGTGAAATTTTTCTGTTGTCCTGTTTGGTTTTGAGAAAGGTCATCGGAACTGATACGTGTAAAGATACGTGAAATTGCGTGCTGAATTAAGGAAAAATGCACACACAGGAAGTGATGGCATGCTGATGCTGTAACAGCTACTGTACCTCTGCTGCAGCCAGTTCCTGGGAAAGCTCCTGGATTTTCTGCTGCTGATGAATCAGGAGCTCCTGGACAGAGACCAGGGTTTGCTGCAGCTGGGTGACTGTGAAAAACAAGCAGAATGACACATGAATGTCACAAAAAAAAAATCCAAGCAGGATGTTTGATAGTTATGTTAGTAATACAGAACTGATCTCTTTCTAGAGATGATGAGAGAACTGATAAGACTTCATTTGTGCCACTGATCAAAGCTGTCCTCTAAGAACTGTAATCAAAGCTAATACCCGGTAACTTTAGTTGCATCTTTTTGGTCTGAGGCTTTGGGATAGGGGCAGGGAAGGGAGGGGTTCACATAGGACGGAGGTATTAATCTCTAGTGTCTGAACTTAAATTAAATAACAGTCTCTAACCTTCCATTATCCACCCAGACACTGCCTTCTAATGCATCTTAAACCCTCAAACGATCAACAAAGGAAAAAAAACAAGGCTTTCATTTTGGAGGAGGCTGCCAGACAAAATGTCCCTCCTAATCCTAATAAATATTGTTCTTTTTCCATTGACTTTGAAGATTGAATTAGTTCAAGTGTTGGTGTTGGACGAAGGTGTATGATTTCAAATAACACCGGGCACAGTTTTTTTGCCCCCTGCTTCCAGTCACGCATGTATTACCAAACAATGCATTAAGTTTCCCTGAGCTGATTATATTACAGAAAACCAATAAACATTCATATAAATCATGGGCGTGTAAAGTGTTAAATCAAGCCTAATAGGATTAACATCAACAGATATTGTGGCGGTCCACTGCTGAGGTTGTCAGGCCAATGGTTAAAAGCCTGAGCTGCAGCCGGCTGGACTGGATGTAAAGAACCCTCCTCCTACAATAACCCAGGCTGGGACAAAAGACAAAGCTTGGCTTTGGAGCTGGGCGTCTTTTGAAAAACCAACACAGAAAAAAGAAAAAAAATATTTGATCTTTCAAAGACACTAATATCTTGTAGTGACACCTGTGTTTAAATGGGTGGAGCTGTATCAATATAGGTGGGGTGCTGAAGTGTTTGATCTTTTCAGGCTTGAAGAATCGAACCGAATACAAGTTACAGCAGAATTGCTAGTGGGGCCCAAAGACCACTGTGCAAATAATCCGAGTTTATTTCTCGGTTTGCGAGCCAGAGTGCAACCAAGCTTTCTTAAGACAGCTATAAAAGAGAAATAGTAGTTATCCCTGCTTAAAAAGGTGTTACTGTGACAGGGTGTGCGCTCTAAACCGCTAGCAGCCCTATTAGTCTTTGAATCCACCTCACCACAGAACAACTTATCCAGATGTGTGGGTTACCCTGGCAGCCCGTAATGCTGTGCCTGCGAATTACCAATGCCGCTGTATTTTCAGCCACTTCAGCCAACAGTTCACATCCCCAAGTCTTTTCATGCCTCTCTACGAAGCTGACTCTTTTGTCCTGCTCAGACACTCAACAAAAAAATGCGTAACTTCTCCTTCCAAGTTATCACAGATATGGAGCCAAGAATATTAATAAAGTCAAAGACTTTGGCCGGGCATGAATCAGAAGGAGGAAGTGTGCGAGTGCATGTGTGTGTGTGTGTGCGTGGGTGAGCGAGCGAGAGAGAATCAGAGACAAGATGATGTGTGAGGCTTGCAGCTGCTGCGAGGAGGGTGCGCATTGTGTATTCAGTAAATTATTCAGTAAATTCCTCACTATAATGTACACTACATATGTCCAGGCTTGTCTCTGTCTTTAATGGCCAGCTGGTCAACAATATGGCTCCCACCAACAAAGAGGGCCCAAACAGCCACACAATTCCATTACAGTCTGGGCGCGCTGACGGAGATCCAAGATCCTTTCATTAATTGTCTGTGTGAAGTTGTAGGCAAATCATAATGGGAGTCAAGGCCCTTACTCTTAGCTGGGCTTGGTGAGAAAGACTAATGTAGTCCCCATTCAGAAGGATACATCACCTCATTGCGCCTGGCACTAGAGAAATATATGAACTTTAACAAAAGGGGGTTCAAGCAATTGGCAGCAGTGAAGCAGTCGGCTGCTATTACTCAGTGCAGTGGAGAGAGAGAGAGAGAGAGAGAGAGAGAGAGAGAGAGAGAGAGAGAGAGAGAGAGAGAGAGAGAGAGAGAGAAAAAGAGAGAGACAGAAGACGACAAAGGCAAAAGCAGGGGGAGAAAACTCAGTGTAATTGCAACCCCTCTCCCCAACTGTTAACTACAACAGTCATTAACTACAATAGCAGCTTGGCTACTGCAGTCATAGCAAATTAGTTCTACACATTGGCTCAAGAAAAGACCAATGCTCTCCCCCGATTTTACCTTCTTACTGACAAAACGTGAGGATTCCTTCTCTGTAAGCTTGTCCTCACTGACAAATTGAGCAGGGTGTGCAGGCTGGCAAATCTCCAAAAAGTGATAAGTAGGGCAAGAATGGGCAGTGAAATAGTCAGGGTAAAGGTGTTTGCATAATTGGGAGAAATTGACCATAAAACAGCATATATTTGTTATTCAGATTCAGCGTGACACACCTTGCACGCCATCTCACACAATTTCTGCCCTCCACCTACCTGGCCCATGTAGAAAACAAAAGAATGGGTGTGCCTGAATAAAATGATAACAGCCATATTTTTATCAGACGGGAGCTGGAAACGCAAATTCTGAATTTGTTTTCAGTTGAAGTTTAAGGGAAAACCCAACATAGGATGTGTAGATGATGGTCTTGTACAAGTCTGTAGAGTTTTGCAAGAGAAATCTCACAAAGGGCACAGAGCTCATTTGCAGAGGACTGAAAATAGAAATGCCCAAATTATACGCAATCAAATTTCCACCAAAACATTGTAACATGTCTGTAAACACACACACACACACAAAAAAAACAATCCTGTTTTTATCAGAAATTGATGTTAGGCAACAGCCTGCGTGTAACCACAATGTTTTATTGTTAACCACACTAGTCCCAACGACGACAAACTAATCTCAAAAGAAAAGCATCTGTTTGAAATTGGGATGGGTACCTCTCAGGTGAAACTACACTCCAGTTTAACACTGCTGCTAACAAGACCTAAGTTTCTCAGAGTGCCCCTCTCATTTACGCCTCTCTGGATTTTTAATTATAGTGACAAAGAGCTGCAAAAGCATCGCCATCCCCGCTTCCTCTCCCCACGTCTGACAGCCAGGTTGAGATTCTTCACCTGTCCAACATGGGAGACGCACCTGTCACTGTGTACTTAATCACACAAGGGCCAGTGCTGAGCAGCAACCACAAAGTGCCATGCTGTGCACGCAAATACAAAAACACACACACAAAATTAAAATGAACTTTCTGCCCACCTACAGGGGAGAGGGTGGTGGATGATGATGGCACTGGAGGTTCGGACGGGGGTGAGATTGTTGCATGGTGAAATGGATGGAAGGGGGGAGTGAAAGGGAATGTGTGTGTGTGTGTGTGTGGGGGGGGGGGTTGAGAAAAGTTGTCATTTCCCAACTCCTCATTAATATTCTGAGGTTAAGAGCTTTTCAGCGAAACGTAATTAATTGAGCCCGAGCCTGACAGTAAACAAGCAATTTCAAATTAAAACGAAATGACAGCGGCGTCATTTGTTAAAAACGTGCGGGCCCCCCCGATTTTGGCGACAGATAAATGAGGGAAAATGTTAAGGAGAGAGAAAGTGATGAAGATATTAATCTTCACCTGTCTGTGTCAGCGTGCCACTCATTGCTGCAATGTTGCTTTCCATTCTCTGCAGATGCTTCTTGTCCTCTCGTCTCTCCGTAATGAGGGGAAGGATGTATTTCTGCAATTAAAAGCATGGCTCAATATTACACTTCTCATTGGTGAAAAGGGGCCGAAAGATGAGGAAAAGACAAGGCCACCCAGATGGGCTATTGTAAGGTCAAATGCACTGCTGATTGGATGCAGGGCAAATTGTCGAATCACAGTTAGACATTGGTCCTACTGCAAAGAGTCGCAGCAACTGATTCGAGTTGATTACAGTGGGGTATATACATCCAGTGATCAAACCATTAATCAATAACATTGCTAGATGATTAGTCATTTAAATAATTTGTCAAACTGATGTGCAGATATTAGCTGTTGTGAATTTTGCACCAGTGATAATGCATTTACAATTAAAATCTAATCTACTGAAAATATATATTTTAATTAACCCTTAAAAAGGGGATTTCAGACAAAGCAGCAAAAAAGCAAAACAACTGTGAAAACAACAATAAAAAGGAGTATAAGTGGAAAAACACTATGACGTGCATTTAATATAGATTTTATACCTAAATGTCATAGTATAACATTTTATGCCACTGAAAAACATAACTAATAAAATATGAAGGTTGATATTGATTTGAGAGTGTTTGTTATCCAGCATGGGTGTTGCCCTGATGATTGGCTTGTGAATATTTTAGTCAACCTTAAGATGCATGTACTGAGACATACTTACAAAATTAAATTCATATTCTTACATTCTAAAGGTGAATGATACTAAAGATCTTACAAAATCCTTAAGGGGAGAGACAGAGGAAAAATGACTAAATTCCTCCTTCCTAGTTTTGAGTCGGCCTGGTTTTCTCTCCAGCCCAGGAGACAAGCTGCCACACCAGTGGAAGTAATAAACACTTTTCAGAGAAAAAGATTAAACGGGTGTCAACATGTGGTAATTAATAAGTGGGTTGCTGGGAGTGTTGTGTTTACAAGGTGCACCATAACATAAATAAAGTATGGGCAGGAGCCTGGACATATGGTGCGACTGGCGCGACACTCAGGTGACATGACAGCAACCTGTGCCGTCCCACCAGGGATTCCCACCTACCAAACAAGGCAACCGTTTCTGCATGTAGGAAACTGTGGGCTGGTACGATGTGTGTCTTTGCCTGCTGAGGCAGAAGACAATGAATGTACAACCATAGAAAAAGCTTTAGTAAAAGAATGAATAATAGGGCATAAAAAAGATCGAAAGAAAAATCCCCTGTCAGGACGGCATGTGTACATACACTCAGAAAGGTATATGTATGAACATGTTATGGGCTCCCTTTCGCTCTCTTATAAACACACAGCGAAGGGACCTGTCATCTAGGCAAAGAGCTACTGCTAGAACTCTGTTCCCTTTCTAAAACTACTGTAATGGTTTCCATATGTCATTCAGACTACTACTAACACCAGTATGGGAATAATGTCACTGTGGACAAGTACTCTCATGAGCTCATGTTCAAAGGCTGAAAAGCCCAATAAAAAGTAGGTGGGTTAATTTCAGATTATACGACTTCCAAAAAATTGGTTCAGTGCTGCGTTGACAAAGTTACTTTGTATAAGAAAAATATCTATTTGGTAGAAGAAAAAAAAACCCTAAGAAGTTCGAATGAAAGTATGCTTTGACGTAAAGAAGGATCACTTTAATAACAACAGAGTGATGCACATACTGCAAAGGCGCCACAATTCATCAGACTGATGCTAACAATTTCTAACACAAAAGAGAGGCAGTACAGACTATCTTCATATACAATGTGAAGTGTGTTGATCACATATTTTATGCTGTGAAAGAAAAGCCAGTAAATAGTTGTAATGTTATGGTAACTTGCCTTGTAAAGCTGATGAAAGCCAAACGCGATGCCCACCATGATGACAGTAAGAGCACCATAGTCTCTCCATCTGTAGCCGGTTGGAACTGGAGAAAGCAAAAGATTGGAATCAAACTTTGATCTTTGGAAACAAACTACCACATATAGCTGATAACATCTAGTAATACAATACTAGTAATGCATTTTTATATGGGGTCCAACACAAACAAGTATTAATGCTACAATTATCTACAACAAATAGCGGAAGAAAAACAAGTTTGTGGAATAACTGCAAAACTCATTCATCACAAAAACAGAAGCTTGCTTTTTCAGAATGACTAAATGTGAGAACGTTCATAGTGCATGAGAAATTTAAAACATTATTTCTTATACATTTTTTTGCAAAGCTTTTAATTTGAACAAAAAGGTAAAAAAAAAAAAAGAATGTGTATTTGTGCAGTTAGAAGTTGACTGTCTTGCTGAGTGACAGATAATGTGAAAGTGTGTCATTGTGCAAGCTGTCATCTGGGTAGGCCAACTGCCTGTCAAGGTGGAAATTCCCCACTTAGGAGAGGCATTCAACTGAAAATGTCACTAAACAACCAACATATCAGGAAGAAGTGTGTGAGTTTGCTTTTATTTACTCTAGTGAGGCTAAAATGAATACAATTTTTGAGGATAACTCCCCTCTAAAGCACACCATTGATATTCTATTATAGGTCTGATTTCACCTAATGGGTTATGTGGTATATGTTTATTGCCTTGAAGTAACTAAACTAAATTGATCTTTTGCTTTAGCACTTGTGATTTTACATGCAAATAAAACAGGAGACCACTCATACTGGACTATATAGAATTTTTTTTCAAGGTGAATGACATTTTATTTTACTTACTCAAGGGCATGTTTCACTGCTGCTGCAGCATTTAGTGAACCTGTAACCTTTCCCATTGAAAATTTTGAACCATTCTTCAACATCCATATAACCACATAAATTTGGGTCTTCATCAACATTAATGCCGGGATAGACCTATCCTAGAATACCAGACATCTGAAAGGCCTACGAGTCCTTGAGATGGATGTTTGACCCTGAACAAGCCTGACTGCATCACCCAGACTCTTCACACGGTCCCCCCCTTCTTTTAGAGCTTCTCATTCTTCCTCTGTCTTCCCCTTTTTCTATACCACTTCTACACTGCCATCTTCCTTTTTTTATTTGGTCACTTAAGCTGTGAAACTGTGGTCTCCATCCCCCGTTTTTCCAATCTCCTCTCAAATTTATTGGGTTCAGTGGAGGCCTTCCTGTCCTTCTACCATGTGGAAATAGAGATCAGAGTATCCATTACTGCGACAGAGATGGATGCGGGTCCCTGTGCACCGTCCCCGTGAGAAGGACATCAAAGGCAGGTAGCCCCCTCTTTTCAGCATGACCCCCCATACAAGACTTCCCGCTCTCACCTCATTATGCAGCTCCCTTATAGCCGTTTTGATATAAAACCCCCTACAATGGACAGAGAGCCGAGAGTCTCCCTAACTACATGGCCATCCCATCAACATCACTTTCATTACAAAACATGAGATGCCGGGGAGTCAAGGACAGTGTGGTAATAAATGAGGGTGGAATACATCTGGAATCATTGTCATATGGGTTAAGCATTACGCGGACTTCATTCTGCATTGGTAAATCAGTGGACAGAATTCACAACCTCCTGAAGTAATAAAGATACAGGTTGTGGTGCGAGGTCTTGCCAGGGTGGACCCCAGAAAGAGAATGGCATGAGACTTTATAAGTTTGTCTTTTAGGACTTATGTTCTCCTGATATCACAATTTACGTAAGTGTATATGCAACAAGATTATAATACCTGTATTATAAGCTGAAATTATAAAAATGAAGCTTCTAACTAATCACTTTAAAGTTTTTACTAAACTGATGAAGTGCACCTAAATATCAGTTTCATAAGAAAAAACAGTCAGTGTACTTACTTGGTGGTGCAGGAGCTGCATAAGGTGGGTGTTGGAGGGCCACAGGACTCAAGGGCAAGACTTCTGCTGTGCTGCCAGAGCGCTGGATGGCCAATTCAACTTCCTCATCAGTCAGGCCTGGAATCAACACAAAAAAATTTAAGATATTCCAACTTCACTGATCAGTGCCTGCACACTAAGGTGAAAATCCAAATGGTTCCTTGGCTATAATAACACAACTTTAAATACTTCCCAAGCTCCCAACAAATCTTTTAAGTACAATTCAGAGTGCATGTCAAATCTCATTTGATTTTGCCAACCCTCTCCTCAAAAATGTATTTTCATTTCATAATTCAGAAACACCGCTGAGACTTTTAGGGATATCCATCAAAGGAAGTGGAGAAAAGGTTCACACAATGAAATCCGAAACTCTGCGAGCCTATTAACTGCCACCAAAGGCAAAGAAAATAAGTCTGTCCACTTCTCCAGTTATATTTCCCATGTGGAGATTTCATACACCCCAGACAGCTAAAATGCATTATTTTAATTTCTTCATTGTAATGTAAATGTATGACATAATTTTGCAAATGCCAATATAATTTAATCTTCAGATATTTTTAATGATTTTAGTGATGATTAAATTGCAAAGGGCTCCCTGATGGAGAATCAGAGGGGAAGAGAGAGAAAAAAAATCTAATATGAACATTTCCTTTTGTGGCAAGAAAGGATTTTATTTCAGACACCATATGCTGCTATTGCTATGGGTTTCATTGTTTTAATGAGTATCATGATCTAAACAATGAAAAATAATTACAACTGGTTATAACATATATTAAAAAGAAACTTCAGCCCAATTAAAACAAAACAATTAAGAGAAAGCCAGAGAAAGAGACAAAACTGGTATGCATTGTCGTTCTTAGGTACTGAATGATGAAGCTCGCCTCCAACAGAAATCTCAGTATAGTTTAAATTGTTGTTTTTTCTTTTGATGTAGCTAAAAAGTTTCCCCTAACATCAAATAACTGAAATGTCTTGCTTTTTAAATTGCTGCCTAAAGATTTAAGGAGTAAATGTCAAGGAAACATCTTTCCTGTTTAAAAATATTGAGCATCAGCAGCAATCAGATGTCATGATTCAAGAATAAAACTGGTAATAATGTATGTACAGCTATATGATCACATATTTAATCTACCCAGGAGTGACCATAAGAACTCTTGAATAATTGAAGGAAAATATTGGTCAGCCTGTAGTTTACAGCAGGTTTTCAGTGCCAGGAAGTGGAGCAAGCTGTGTGCTGAGTTTGTGTAGTCAGACTGCAATGTCAAATAAGCAATAATGTGTCCCTGGACTCCTGATTCATCTGACCACAGCAGACTACATGGTGACAGACTATTGAGTGAGACCTGCAGTGATCTCAGTTTACCCAAATAAAAGAAAAAAGAAACAGAAAAACAATCAATTGCACCTTGAAATATAAAATCTTTGTTTATTTTTACCCTTTACGCTAGCTGCAATTAAAATCTGTGTATTCTATGTGCTGTTGATATCTTTGACATTGTTCTTGCAGCAAAGAAAGTTTTAGTTTCATTTTTTTCCCTGAATTATATGAGCAAAACATGAAAACTCCTGTTTTTAAGTTAAAATTCAGATGGCTAAATTGATTATAGGCTTTGATCCATTTTTTAAAAAAAGACAACAAAAAATAAATAGAACCCTTAGATCCGGAAGAAAAAAAGAACAAGGTGAAAGTGAGTTTTACATATAAAAGGAACAGACAAAAAAGGGACTGGGAATTTATTATGGGTTCCAAAACCTGTGGAATGACCCCTGGACCCCCATTTCAGATCGACCTGTAGGGAGATGAATTTTTAAGACATAAATTATACCTAATGACGACACCATAAAAAAGAACAATAATGGAAAGCTATTCTGTATTTCATTATACTGTATTATTTGGTGCACCTGATACACGTAGTGCCTGTTTATGAGTCACCGTATTAGCAGATGCTCTGCCAAAGCATTTGCTTTGACCTTGCCATTCTCATTGGGGCATGAAATTACGGTGCTGGCACCTCGATATTACAGCTATAAATACTGTAAACTGCATATCTGGGCAACGTTTTCTATTGTCTTTCAACATAAACCTGATCGGTATTTATTTAAAGGAAAACCCATTGCTCGTCGGGTTATTTACAGCTCTATTTTCAGAAGCTCATATTCTCTGGACATTTTTTAAGGGCAAAGAGGCAGCAAGACCCTTACATTAAATCTATTTCTCCAATTCTGGCACTTCTGGACTTTATGGGTCAAGACCTGGCTTGGACAGCCAATTATAAAAATTGCTTACTAAAATATTTGGGAAGTGAAAGGTGAATGCCTTTTTTGCTGTCCTCCAAGGATTGAATTATGAAGTTGCCCTTGTGTGAAAATTACTTACATTTTGAATATCGTATTTAGAAAGAAAAAAATGTATGGCAAGGGTCATAAATAGATGGAGGTCAATGGGTTATTAAGAAAAAAGTTCAACCAGTTTCTCATGCTGCAGTGGCGAGAGGGGTTATACACGTCATTTGGTTCTGTACAACTGCTTGAAAATGGCATGCCCTAAATAATGACCACTCTCATAGAGTATTCATTTATGTATTAAAAAGGGGACTCTGCTCTCATTTCCCTGCTTTATCGCCTTGTACTGATGACAAAGTAGGCAAGGCCTCGGCTAGGTGGCGCCGTGGAGTAATTTATAACCACATCAATCCCTTTACCTTCTCCACAGGCCTTGGTTATTGTCATCTTTGTCCGAGAGGTGAGTCACGTAACCCCTCTCACAAACAGCGTCGTATTAATATCTGCGGTGATGAACCTTACCCTTACCTTCAGACCAGGTATGGTAATGGACAAAAAGACTACCTATGCTCTTCTGACCCTGGACCACGAGCCCTCTACTCAGGGTGAAATCTATTATTGTCATTTATTCAACACAACAACAACCGGGAAGACATAAAAAAATAAATAAGCAAAGCCATTTTTTATGACTCACTGACAAAATAGGCACTGCGAGCTGTTCGCATGTTGAATTTGCCTGGATTGAACCAATGTGCACTTCAGCTTTCCAAACTGCATTCAGCTTGGTAATCAAGGAGCTGCTGAGAGATGTCAGTTTCAGAGCAATGGTCAAAGTGACATGTTAAAAGCTGGAAAATGCTCTTGACTTTGTCCTGAGAATTTGATTTTTGTGGTAATTATGTGTGAAACTGCTAATTGTCAGGGCTGAAATGGTGGTGCCAAAATGGAGCCCATTGCTTTTTAGTAGCTACAATGGCTAATTGAAGAAGACAGCAGACAGCACAATTTTCAAGCACATTACATTTCCCTCAAACACCAAAATTACTTGAGCTTGGTGAGGAACAAGTAAAGCAAATTTGCTTCAAGATTGTTGTAGGACAGTTTGAAATTCAATTCGTTTCCTCGCTCATCTGTTACAGACGGAAAAAGGCACCCTGAGTTTAAATCTTGATTTATACTACATTAAAGTGACAAAGTTTCAATATTTCAGCCAGTTTATTTAGCTTCAAGGACTTAAGAAGGGCAACTGGAAATATTGGATTCTGTAATGGCCAATTCATACCCTGAAATTGACAATAGAAGAAAAACAGAAAATTATATTTTTCAATGAATATTGAAATAAACCACATTATTATGACCTCTTTGGAAAGAAAAAAGCGATGTAACCAGAGAGGCATACTTCAATGCAGATTAGGGCACAAATGTGCAGGAAAATAATATGCACGACTGAGATTATTGTGTAAAGATTCTGCAACATGCAATCAAAGTGGGTCCTATTTTCCCCTTCATCAGCTGTCCGGCATAAGCACTGGCAGCAAGAGGAATCCAATTTAAATTCCACTCTACCGGGAGATGGTATTGTTTCATTTTATGTGTGCTTTGACATTTCTGGCTGTTAATATAGAGTAAAATCAAGAAGTATTTACATAAATATGACATTAAACTGTATTAGAAATTAAGAGTGACACATTTTCTGTGTTGACTGTGGGATGAGGAGAATAATTGAGTTTCTGTGTCAAAAGGTTGAGAAGACAAAATACGATGGGTGAGGATACAGCAAAAGGACTGGCCTGCTTTTCTCTGCAGAAAACCTCTCTTGCTCAAGTTCAAGTGAACTGGAAGCCAGTAAAAAGCATCTAAATTGATTTATTTTCTCCTGATATGCTTTAAATTGATCACATCAATTACAAAATCCTTAATTACTCCAACTACTTTAGATAACAAGAAACAGCACTAAAATGCATCTTGCATTGCTGCTTTTACCTGAATGAAACTAAATAAATGTATTTGTCATTGTAAAACAATTTAAAGTGATGCAATTTGCAATAATAAATATTGACATTGATTTACCACTCTGTTTTTCTAAATTAGCAATATCATCTTGTTTAAATTTAAAAGACATATTATATGGACACAATTTTGAATATCATTTAGAAATATTGCTCTAATCTTAAACATTACAGTCCTTAAATTTAAGTCAAAAAGAAGGCAACAACAACCAAAAAAAAAAAAAAAAAAAAAAAAAAAAAAAACAACAAAAAAAAACCCAATAACTGACACAAGAGTTCAGCAAATACTAAAAGGCTCACTGCTGGACAACTGTACAATACCAATTCAGAGCTAAGAGTACTGCAAAAAGATCCTCAAACATACTTTATGTTTAGTGTTCCATTGCTCATATCTCTGCTCTCACTCTCCCTATGATCAATGTCTTCATGCAAATTAGGGCTGCACCAATTCATCGATTAATCGACAACTATCCATCCATCCATCCATCCATCCATTTTCTGTACACGCTTCTTCCTTTTTAGGGTTGCGTGGGTCACTGGTGCCCATATCCAGCAGTCACAGTGCGAGAGGCGGGGTACACCCTGGACAGGTCGCAGGTCGCAACTATTCAATTATTAAAATAATCGATGAATAATTTAATAATCGATAAATCGTTTTTTTTTTGTTCTTTACTTTGTTTTTCTTTCCAAACTGCTTTGACACTTTCCACTGCCACATCTGCCTTTCTGTCCTTGACACACATGCATAGTAGTGGTAACTGGGGTAGGCTGTGGACGTCCCAAGTAGGGCTGCACCGATTAGTTGAAATAATCGATGACGTCGATTATGATTTTTTATTATCAATTCGCTGTATTACATAACCACCAGGTGAATGYTCATGCAATTCCGTTTCGGTACCTAAACGCATCATTGCGACCGTATTGGCATAAGAGTGGTGAGTTTTTCATGAAAATATTACGATTACAAATACAATAATATTACAATTACAGAAAATATTACAATATTAAAGAACTCTTCTTGTTAATTTGATGAAAACATTTTAAATTTCCAGTGCACTCACATCAGAATAACTTATAGATTTGTTGTTAGAATAATCGATTAATCGAAAAATAATCGTTAGATTAATTGATTAGAAAATAATCGTTTTGGTACAGCATTAATGCAAATCAAGAGTTCTTGCCCGGATCTACAATGGAACGATTCACAAAAATAAATCTGCATTAAAGCATCATACATATTTCATGAACTTAAAGTGCAGTAAAAGCAAACCATTTTGGATAGTGGAGCTCCACAAATATTGCAAGACTTCTTCAAGTAAGACGGAAATGAGGCAAAGTGTGACATCATTTGGGGGTGATCAAGCCTTGGGAGTACACAAAGGAGGATTAGGAGCTAGTTGTCAATAATGAGACTAAAATATGAAGAAATGTAAAAAGATATTAAGAATCATTACAGCCATATGAGAGGTGTGTGGCAGCAGCCGGCAAACATGGATTTGGTTTCAGGTTACCTTCCCCAATCGCACAGCTCTTAGGCTCACTCATCACTGTTTGGCTACTCCAACAATACAAGCAAAATCCCTCAGCACTGTATAGATACAGTCCATTTAGTACTGAACTGTCCCATAAATGACTCAAATACAAACATTTATCACAAAGAGTAACACTGGGTAAAAACATATTCTTCTCATTCGTATTATTACTGCTGAACTACAGACCTACAATTCCACTGCTGCATTATATTGAACTGACTTTAATGACTTCAGAGTAATAAAGTTTTTTTTCTTTGCTTTTTCCTGTTGCGTAAACAATATTCCAGAATGTGTTAGAAATATTTGAATGATAAAAAAGAGAGGAGGCAGCAAATATTTCAACCCTTTTCCCTACTCAGAAAATCTCACTATGTAGTCTGACAAATTTACAATAACCATTAAATTAAGTAAAAGGGTTAAAATGCTGGAAGGCAATATTGATAATTCCATTGAAAACTCAGAGGGAGTTTGTCAATATTAATTTTCCTGAACCCAAAGGAGCATCCCAACTAGTGTGTCATTTATTCACAGGCCCTGAATCACGTTCTCTGAAGCAAAATCGACCCCTTTTATCCCCGCAGCTCCATCAGCCCTCCCCAGCGCAGAGCTACAGCCACAACCTTTGACCTTTTACAGATCAGTCGTTCCAGAAAAACAAACATATCTTTATGACTGAGCAAAAACATTTTTCAAAGAAACACAAATACATGTAGTTTAAGGTTGTCTGTGTTTTATTTTACATGATAAAAGCAAAAGTACCTCACCTTTTTTCTTCAAGAAAGTTTTTCTAGTGGCCAGAGGAGTTTGCCGTACTTTTGGGTTCTCTAGAAATTTCACAGCAGTGTTAATCTGGAAAGAGAAAAAAAATTGATTTAAAGTCTCATAATGACTTTTATGTGAACAGCTAAAGATAAGCTCTAAAAGAAACTAATGCTTTTAACAGCACAAACAGAAGTCTAGACCTTCTTCTAAAAGAAATAGATTTATTATGAATCCACCCTTGTTAAAAAGAAAAAAAAAAACTTAAATGGATTTCATCTGATAGTTGCTTTTATAACCCCCCACACCCAGCAGTGAGGAAAAACACCACCTGACCACTTTCCTGCTAAATGTGGGGAATGACCAAATCAGCAGTTATAAAATTAGCCCATCAAGAGTGCCGGACAAATGGAGTATGGAGCTTAATTTGCTATTACCCTCTTAAAGACAAACTTCCATTCTTAAGTGCGCAGTGGAAGAAAATCTATACTTAATGCAGAGGTGATCATTTGTATCTAATAACTTGAGAATCCGAGGCAGAAAACTTCTGTAATTCTTCCAGTTAAAAACCTGCCATGATCAAATCACCTCGCCTGACTGTTGTAATGACTTGAAACGTTAATGCACCAGAACGTTAAATAGCATCAGAACATCAGTAGTTTTAAGTGCACTGCGTTCATCGATTCTATTATGTTTTCCTTCGAGATGCGCCTTAATTTTCCACCCAGTATGCATTTCCAAGAATTGGAGGTAGAGGAAGAAAAAAACTTCCTCAAATGACATTAAAACATAAATTTCAAGTGGGCGCCATGAAGTGGCGCCTCCTAAAATAGATAAATATGTAAGAACACAAAAAAAGAAAAAACACACTGGAGGGGAGGTTTCGATGACTTATTATCGCACCTGTGGTCCCCATGATTCAATTGTAAAAGTCATCCCTCTAATAGCTTGAAAGGTTTTGATTACTCTTCTTTTCTTTTAGTGTTGAAAGATACAAAGTGATTGAGCGCCCTGCCACTGGTAATTCATTTTGGGTAATGCATTGCATATACTATGAACCTGTTTCAATCCAAAAGAATTGTAGCTTAAAGTTGTCCAATGGGCAGAGGTGGCAGGGAAGCTGTTTAAAAAGCTAAAGTTCTATGACAAACACACAGTGTTTTTGTGAACCACAGCACACACATGGCTTTATTTAAAGCTTCTCTTAAGTGCTAGAAATACATTTATGAATAACAAACACAACACAGGACCTATATAGTTATAAACTTTGTATCATTTTATGTAGGATTTGCATAGTAATAGTACTCTCTTGTTAAATTCTCAAAAAGTATCAGATTCATCCCATGAGACGCTGCGACAATTTATTTAAACTCTAATCTGCCATTTCACAGAGACACAACCGTGACCTTGATGTACACAAGGGTTACACAAGAGGTATGGAATTTCCTGGGTCTGTAAATGCTGAGGGCTTATTAAAGTCGCTCACTCGGAACCTTCATTGTGACAACTAGATTAAACCATTTGCATGGTGAGCCCCAACTCACGTTCTGGACCAAAAAGATACAGTCAAATAAAGGTCCCTTTGATAATAAGACAAAATCCTTCTGTTCTTAGCAAAGCACTTACTATTTAACCAAATGTGTTAAAGGTAAAGGGCAGAAAGAAGAGATGATAAACACAATAAAATCTAATATTCTAATTTCCATTCCAGTAAATAACAGAAATGTGGGTCCTGTGAGAGATAATGACCTATTAGAGAAAGAACATGCTGAATGAGCAATTTGTATTTACATTCTCTTAAAATTTCAGCGGTACAATATTGACAAGGAAATTGTATCAATGCTGCCAGACGCAAGTATGATACCTTAGCGAGAACCGCAGCTTGCTCAGCGGCAAACTAATGAGGCAAATGTCCATTTGGTTAAAACTGTAGTGGTAGACCTTCAGGGAGAGGAAAAGTGCACTTCTTAGCAGATGACATAGATGCTTTGCACAAGTTCCATCCAGACATCTCAATCAATTATAACCACATTGCACTGATTTTACTCTTGTTATTGACTTATGGATCACCCCAGTTATAGTGTTGGGTAGCACACAACTGGGCTTTTAGGAGGGGGGTTAAGATGGATAACTGTACAAGGTACTTTTATGTAAGCAGCATCAATAACTCATAAAAAATAGTCCTTCACGGCAGAAACCTTGTGATTTTAGTGCTTTAAACAAGAAAATGACTACTTTGTAAAGCTTCTTGTAAAGCTTTGACTAGTAATGCACCAAAGTGCTCCATGTAAAGAGCAATAATCTTTGCAAACCAGATAACCAATAAAGTGTCAGGTAAAGCTGAAAAAGAGGTGAAAACTCAATCATAGGAAGAGATAACATTAACCAATACACTTAAAGAGAGTGAACTTGATGAACAGACAAGATTACAGAAATGTTATTGAGTTTGAATTGGACCAGACTTTGCACTGCACTTGTCTGAAAATTACAACTGTGATACCTCGAACTGTGAGAAATGAGGATGAAATCCAATTATGTTCGAACCACATGGATGGACGCCTGAGGGAATCCATGTAACCAGTTGTATATTTTTGCTCTAACTAGTAACAGCACTCAACTATAACATACCACAAAACCTATGGATATTATCCAGGAGTGCATTATGGGCATTCAGGAGTGGGTAGTGTGAAAAGGTAAAGTTGAATTATATACTGAAAGGGAAAAATGTTACAATACTTGTCCCATCGGGTCCCAAGTTTTTAAATTTTTTTAACAACAGAACACATTTTAGTCCTACATTACATAGGTCAAATCAACCAATCACTTATAATTTACTCTAAACATAAACTGCAATGCCATAAACTGTACATCAAAAGCACTGACTTTCTTGTTTTTCAGATTCAATGCAGAATGCTACAATCTCTGACCTTTCTTTGAATACACATCTAAATGTTATGATATAAACAACATATAAAGAGTAGAAAAGCTTATTGAAACTGCTGAACATATTTTTCCATTCAAAGTCTAATGGTAACACAGACTGAATCACACGATTAGACAAAACAAGAGTGACACATTTACTGCTTAAATTTTTTTAAACCAAAGTACGAGAAATGTCTTTGTGATAATTTTGTGAGAAGATTCAGTGGGCATCATAAAACAAAAAGTTGCAATAAAAGGGCTAAAAGAAAATCATTAGCAACTATAGGATTCAGTCTCAATGTGAATCAGTTCATTCCAAATTGCCCTGGCCTGTGTATTTGTGAAGTGCCCCTGATATAATAACATACTGGTGGACAAGATCAAAAATTGTGTTAAGATAGTTTCAAATTTCCCCCCTTCAAACACATGTTTGGAGGACCAAAGCGAGAGAAAGTGAGATGGCAAAGAAAAAAATGAAGCTCTATATTAATTTGGAGCTTTCATGGATGATTTGCTATTAGGGGCAGCTGTCTTAAATGACTTAACCCAATACCTTTCTGATATCAGAGCCCTGCGAAAAAGGAATTGAGTTTTAATGCAATTATTGTATTTCCTTTGGTCGCCTGGCTGCTTGATGTGGCCAACGGTGCTTTTTAATCTTTTTAAAAGAGCAAGTTTAAATGCCCTTCTAATTGTGACATCTTTCCCACCTTAATGTGACCTTCAGTAGAGGAAGCAAGGCCTCGTGGGAGCAGCTATAGGGAATTATTGACCCTAAGAGACACCAGGAAGTGAGGTGCTGACCTGACCATTTAGCAAACATTCAGTTGCTCAGACTGTAGCTTTCAGGGCCCTGCAGGAGATGAACCATTCTGATGAAGACTGAACATTTGATTCTTGCTTCATTTCTGTCCAGACTTTTTTTAACCCCACCAAATAAGCTATAATTTAAAAAAGAAATGTTTTTAAATCTTTTAAACAGACTTTAACAAAACTCAACTTCAACATCAGTAAATTTTGATGAAAGAGAACTAGCAAAACACCGGAAAGGGGTCATGGAAAAATTCATTGGCATTTGCAATGCAAAGGTTTAAAAATAACATACAGCACTGTATCAGTGTCAGAGCCATGGGCAAGGCTACAAACACGACATCAAAAACACATTGTGCAATTTTTGTAAAAAGGGAGGGGGGTTTGGTGGACGGAAATCAAACTTTTTTTAAGACCACTGTGTGAGCAGACAGAACTTTCCATTCAGAAGCATTTTCCTGTTAGTGTTTTGTCTTTGCATAGAAAAAGTTGAAAAGGTCTAGTGGTGAGAAACACTGAAACCTGAATGCAACTGATCAACCGAGGACACTTAACGAGCAAAAAAATCTGCAGAGAGCAAATAAACACGTAATAAAACACAGAGAAAATGTTGTCATGTCTTTATAAAGATTTAAGCTATTGTTACAAGGATGTAAAATTAGTGAAATGTTAAATGGTTCAGTTTGCTGGTTTCCTAAATGATGTGTCTATATTCTGGTATAATTCAAGCCACAAGTTATTTGTCAAAAAAAAGTAATGTTTTCTGTGTGTTTGTTACAAGTGAAAAAAAAAGCAGATATCATGAGCAAAAGAGCTGCATAAAAAAGCTGTACTTCATAACGCCAACAAGTGTTAAATAACACAAAGCAACAAAGTGATCACTTTTCTTTGAACACAAACATGTGTCTCACCCAGCTTGTTCGAAACTAGTTTGACAGACGCAACTTTGACATTTTTTAATGTGCAACTGCCAGTGGTGGTGCCTGGGGTTGCCCTTGCTAAATCAGTGACATAGATGGCAGTTTAGATAAAGTCATTTCAAGTGGTGCCCTGCATGCCCTCGTGACCGAAGAGGAGCGTCTCCACCATATTTTACCCAATTCAGACAAAAAAATAAATAAATAAACTTTTAAAACTCGTGTGTTCCTTTTAATTCAGGTAAAAGGCCCAAACCATGAGTCTGGAGCTGCTCTGAGAGATGAGGGTCATCAGAGATTAACCCATGGCACTTTAGCAGTGGGGGTGCAAGAGGGGAGTCGCAGTGAAGCACAACAAACTACTTAGCTACCACAAAACATTCCAGCCCCTTCTCAGCTGCAATCCAGTAATGGATACTTCCTCAGCTCCTCAATTGGTCA